TGTCGGGAACGAGTCGCCGTACGAGGACGCGCCGTTGACCAAGATCTCGCTCCAAGAGTACCTCGAGACGATCACCAAGTACACGGAGCTCGAGCACAGCATGTACGCGCCGCAGCACGACGACCAAGCGGTCGTGAGCACGCAAGCGTGCTTCTTGCCGATTGAGAAGGAGGCCGAGAGCAAGACGGAGTTTCACGTTGGCTTGTTCAACTACCAGTCGCGGGCGGATGACCCGGCCGTGCTCGTCTTGGTCTGCACGGACGCTGGCACAAGGTACTCCCTGTTTCGTTCTCTACATCAGGACGCCGCAAGCGAACGCTGCGTAGTGCTCAAGTCGTGAGCCAGCGCGATGCGGCTCTCTTCTGCAACCACCACGGCATGAAGCACTCGTTTGCAGCGGAGCGCTTGTCCCAGGACCGCGCCAAGCGAGGGGTCGACGCCGCCGATGTCGCCATGACAGCAGACGAAGAAGCCCGCAACTACGTCATGATTGTGCAGATCCCGCTGCAGCAAAAGCCGAGACCCGTGCGCAGTTTCGCGCTCAAGAAGAAATGCTCGGGCGTTCGAATGATGGCGCGTTCCTCCGCACCATTGATGATGGACGTCGAAGCTGCGATCATCAGCATCAGCGACGACGCCAAGGGCCCGTACCCCAAGCTGAGCCGCTTCAGCCACGTGCAGCGAGACACAAGGTACCCGATCCGCGTCACGGTGCAGTTTTATCAAGCGACGAGCAACGGGTTTGTGACACCCGACGTGGTGCAGGCACTCGCCAAGAAGATGGCGTCGGTCAAATCCAATGCGACGTGGTGGGGCTCCCTCGTCACGCCCAGCGATCCGATTCTGTGCCCGCCAACGAACAACGGTGTCACGCCGCCCAAGGACAACGATGGCTCGGTGAACGCTACCAAGCCCTCGTTCTGGCAGCGTATGACCGACTTGTTCTGAGCAGCTCGTCGATATTGTAACACATGACTTCTTGCATCCATTCAAGCTTGGCTGCCCAACCTTCTGCAGTTGACCGCGGCAATGCGAGCGCGCCGACGCGACTCCCATTCACAATCCGTGTTATCCGGATGTCCGGATACAGTGCCTTGGCGCCATTTTCATCCGATCGCTGAAGCGCTTGTCTGCGACTCCGACGGTGCAAAAGGGCCGTTCTGTTTCGTGTCGTTAGATTCGCTCGGCAGCACCAACTCGCCAGCAACCAACCAACCAACCAACCAACCAAAGCGACTCCAAAAACGGTATTTTGTCACCTTGCTACAGTACCGGTACCACTAGTGTAGTACGCAGGCTATCACAGCTCCGCGTCATCTCTGCCAGCACAGCCTTGTGCGTAGCGTTGTACGGCGAGCACTTGGCCGAGGAACGCGGTCCATTGGCCTGAAGCGAAAAAGCTCATGTCGTCTTGTCCACGTCGCAGGCTGGTTCAGCGTAGACGTCCACGGTCTACAGTATTCCACCCTTTACGATGCGCGGCCCAAATGTCTACCCGGGTCGTTGCCATCAAATTACGTTTGACCATGTTCTTCGGTGCCCTCTTGACTCCCTCTCGAAGGAATCTCGCAACAAGGCGTTCTTCCAACACGGTCCAACGACACCTTGAGCGATACTATTCTAGCCGTGTCGGCGCGTGTCCAACGCCATCTGGGATGTTGCGCAGGTCGTTGTACCGATGATCCCACCGTCCATTGCGATCGTCCGTGCTATTTTGACATTGGCATCCAATTGGGAGGGATGCTCCTATTGCTGCTGCTCGGCGTGCTCGGCGTCGCGGCGCTCGACCCGATCGTTGCGCGCGGCAACCGCCTCTACAACGCGCGCACGGGCGTCCGCTTCGTCATGCGGGGCATGACGTACGAGGGCGACGTGAGCGACGACCACTACGACGAGTTTGTGCGCGAGACGCTCGAGACGTCGCTGACGGACCTGTTTGGGCACTTCAACACGTTTCGCCTCTACAACATCAACCCGGATCGGTCGTACGCCAAGTTCATGGCGCACATGAACACCCGGGGCATCTACGTGCTGCCGTCGGCGTCGCCGACCAACAACAAGTACTACGGCTCGTACGCGACGCAGACCATGGACCGGACCGTCAACGGCGAGTCCTCGTACACGAGCATCGACCACATCGTCAAGCCGCTGGCGCCCCATTCGAAAAGCTGCTACCCGACCTACTTGCTCTACTATGGCAAGCGCGTACGGCGTTGGATTGTATCAAGCTATCGACTTGACACGACAGATTGATGTGTAGATCATCGAGAACTTTGCGCAGTACGACAATACGCTTGCGATCGTCATTGGCAACGAAGTGCTGCAGCTCGACCTCACGGCCGCCGCGTGCGTTAAGATGTACGCGGCAGACCTGAAAGACTGGATGGGCGTCAACGTCAAGAAGCTGCGCACGATTCCGCTGGCGTACTCGGCCGCGGACGGCGCGTACACAGAGCTCGTGAACGGAGCGCTCAAGCAAGTGCTCTCCGCGACCGCGTACCACGCCATCAAGATCCAAGGGCTTCTCTGCGGCGACACGATGGTCCACGGCGTGATGACCAAGAGCATCGACATGTACATGATCAACGAATACCGGTGGTGCAACAAGAACACCTTTAACGAGGCCTACAAAGAGCTGCTCGGCCTCGCGCAAGGAGTCCCGATCGTCTTGGCGATCGGCGAATTTGGCTGCGCGACGAAGCGCCCGCGCACGTGGGAAATGGTCCCGACCCTCTTCTCCGAGTCCTTGGCGTCCAAAGGCTGGACCGATGTGTACTCGGGCGGCTTTGCATACGCGTTTGGGGAAGCGTCGCTGCCGCGCGACAGCATCTTCCCCCTCTTTATCGGTACTACCACCAACGAACCCCGTGTGGTCGGTCGGGATGATGGATTGATACGAACTTGATACAGGCGCGGCCGACACGGGCATCACGACCAAGCCGGGCACGACGCCGACGCCCGACTACGCCAACCTGCTGCAGCAATACAAGAAGGTGGTCACGCCGCTGGCGCCGGCGGAATTCGCGCCTCCGGACGTCTGCTCGTTTGCACCGACGCTGACGACGGAGCCCACGATGCCGGCGGCGGTTGCGGCGACTTGGATGCCGTCGTGTGCGAACCCAACGCTCAAGATCCGGTCCTTCGATACGTGGATCACGAAATCGCGGCAGGGACAGGCCTGTGACAAGTATGGCGCGCCGTGCGAAGTCGTTCTTCCAGACAAGGTGGGCACGACCCAAGAAGACATTTGCGGCAAGCCGCTCGTCGTCGAGAGCGGTGGTAGCCTCTGCACGCCGGGCGACAGCACGTGCAAGCACGGTAGCTGCGTCGCGCTTTCCGCCACCGCTGGCCGCTGCGTCTGCAGTGGCTGCTGGGGCGGCTCGACGTGCGCCGTCAAGGACGACGACAAGTGCAGCGTCATTCCCAACCTGCCGCAGGCACCTAAAGTCATCTTTACGACCCTCGCCATCTTCGTCGGCGGCATGACGCTGGTCTTTGGCGCCCTTGCAGTCGTAGCGCACAAGGGCTCGCATACGTCCAATACCAATGCCGAGGTCTACCATGCTCTGTAACTATCCTTCGTTCATCTTCTTCGGCCACGCGTGAGGATCGGATGCAACACGATGAGGCGGCAGGTGCAAAATAAATCTCGTTTGACGAGCCTATGGCAAGACGCCAGCTTCTTTGAGGAGCGTCAAGAGCTTGCCGTCGCGGTGGAGCTGGGCAACGTCGTCGCCGCCACCGATCGTCTTGGTCTTGATAAAAACGTTGGGGACCGTGTGGCGACCTGCATGCTTTCGCACGTGAGTGCGATACTTGGCACATGACGATGGATGCGTACCGGTCATCTCGGCCAGCGACTGCAAAATGCCGTCGCCATTGGGCATCGTATCGAGCTCGTATACGGTGAACGGGACGCCGACTGCGTTTAGGACGTTCTTGGCCTATCCATGGATGGGATTTAGCCCTTGGGTATCGATGCTAGCGGAGCGTACCTTGGTGCAGTAGGGGCAGTACGTCTTGCTGAAGACGCTGACGCCGTTCGTAGCAAGCGCGTTCTCGACAAACGACTTGGATTCGGGGGTCGACGAGCTCGAGTTGCCCATGTTCTGTCGTGAAGTAAAATGAACCTTCACTGCAAAGAATACAGTATTTTCCATCACGGAAATAATGTGAAGTCCATCCAAGCATCTGGCCGCTCGACGAGCATCTCCTAGAAGCGCATGCAGGCACCATGGCCGTGGGTTACGTGACATAAGCTTCTTTGCCATATTCGTCATAACAGATAGCCTACATCAGCCCACAAAGGCAAGCATCGACGTCGGTATGATTCATACCGACGTCGATCATTCTAATTCAGAATGATAACACTATTACAATAATCAACACCATTTCAGAATGACTAGAATCCTGCGCTGTGATTGGCTGCGGTTTCCGAAAAGCCGGCTTCGGGGGATCTTGGCGAATCCAGTTTGCACTTCACCTCGTCCGCAGAAAGTTCAGCCATGTCGGGGAAGGCCTTTGTTCAAGACGCGCTCGCCAAGAACGGCGTCACGGTCTTCAGCAAGACGTACTGCCCCTACTGTACCAAGGTAGACCCGGCGAGCAGCGATACCCAAGGGCTAAATCCAATGGGTAGGCCAAGAACGTCCTCACGTCGGTCGGTGTCCCGTACGTCGTGTACGACCTCGACAACCTCGACAACGGCGACGAGATCATGGACGCGCTCATCGAGCTCACGGGTACGCGACTCCGTCCTCTTCATGCGAAGCGAGGCTCTGTGTTGATAGGTCGCGACACGGTCCCCAACGTCTTTGTGAAGGCGACGACGATTGGCGGCGGCGACGACGTGACGCAGTTGCACCGCGAAGGCAAGCTCGTGCCTCTCTTGCAGAAGGAAGGGCTTCTGCAGTAAGCGTCTCTGCATCCATTGAGTAATCGTGCTTCGACTAACAGGCCCGCGTGCGTGGTCTGCGAGAGCCAACGACATGATAACATCGACCACTCAATCAGTGTTCTATCTTGAGTTTTGTCAGCGAGAAGGCGACTTGCTGGCTTTGAGTTGGGGCCACCGTCGGAGCTGCAGAATGTTCACGCATACGTTCACGAGATTCGATGCCCCTACAGTAGCCGCCGCCAGCTGCCGCCGTAGCAGCTCTAGCCGCTGCCGTCGCCGGTTGCTGGCACCAAGCTCCCAATGGCCCGTGGCTCGCTCACGCCGCCAAGCTAATTCTATGCAAGGCCAAGGGCATCACAGGGACTCGAGTTGGTTGCAGTGGTGACCTCGAGGGACGTCCCCTGAAGGCTGGTGTCACGTACCCACCGTGCACCCGTAGCGTAATCCGATCCCACGACGAATCCAAAATAGTGTAATATCCACTCGCTCGATCCTTTCTCCTGCCTTGGACTTGTTTGCGGTCGATGCGGAGTATGCAGCCCACGCCCCACATAGTTATAGCTTGCATGGCGCCAGCGCTCTTGGCCCCAGCCGCTTCGTCTCCTGCGATGGCCATGCGTCGTATCATACACTATTTTACGTCGGGTGCTTTGATTGGCAAAACACACGCAAAACCCACAGACGTGGGAATCATCGCGACCTTCCGTGGCACTTCACACCATCCCGATCGAATCTCAGCATGGCTGTCGTCCACTCGTCGTCGCGCCTCGCCGACCTGGACGAGCTCGCGCAGCACGACCACGAGTTCCTCTTCAACAACCCGTTCATTCGGTCGGGCTACCGACTGCACTACACGTCGCCGACGCAGTGCGTCAAGTCGCTCTTCCAGCTGCACAACGAGACGTGGAACGTGTGGACGCACCTCGTCGGCGCGCTCCTCTTTGGCGTCTTCTTTGCCAGCGTCGCCTTGTACACCGAGGCAGGCTTGTACCACACGACTGTGCTGGCGCCGCCACCGCTCGCGCTCGCCCATGGCCAGCACACGCGCGCGTACTTTCTCGAGTACATTGCGCCGCCCGTCATTCCCATGTACTACGCGTTGCGCCTCGACAACCACGCGGCGATCCGCGACCACGTGCACGTGGCCAAGGCGCTCTTAGGCCACTCGCTCGCCCGCGTGCCGACGCTCGACGAGCTGCATCCCGTGCTCGCGGCGCAGATGAGCGCGGACGTCCAGTCGACGCTCTCATCGTACTTTACGTCCATGGCGTCGTCGCTCGAAGCGCTCCAGGCCCAGCTGCCGCCGCACTGGCCGCGCCCCAACGCGACGACCGACAACTGGGCGGTCGCGTACAACGCGTTGCACCCGTTGCAGCGGCAACTCGACGACAAGACGTCCGAGCTGCGCGATTATGTGCGTGCGCTGCGGAACGACGCGCAGCACCAGGCGCCGCTGCAGCTCGTGCTCCACGAGTTCCACACGTGGTCCGAGACGATCGCCAACGGCCTTGCGATGCTCACTGCGATCCATCCGACCGAGCTGCTCACGCCCGAGCTCGCGACGTGGCCGATCCTCGTGTACATTGCAACCGCCTTTCTCTGCATGAGCTGCAGCACGGTCTACCACCTCTTCTTTGTGCAGAGCGCCAAGACGTCGATGGCGCTCATCCAGCTCGACTACGCAGGCATCATCCTCCTCATTGGCGGCGCCTTCTTCCCCGTCATCTACTATGGCTTCTACTGCGACATGGCCCTCGTCACATGGTACCTCGGGACCGTGAGCGTGCTCTCGCTCGTCTCGTTCGTCGCGTCGCTCCACCCGGCCTTTGACGAGCACCCGATCGTGCGCACAGGCGTCTTCCTCGCGCTCGGCTTCTTTGGCCTCGTCCCGCTCGGCCATCTTGTGTACGAGCACGGCTTTTGGGACCCGCATGTGCAAGTGATCTTGTACCGACTCCTGGGCACCGCCGGCTTTGACTGCTTTGGCGCCATGCTCTGGGGCCTCCGCGTGCCCGAGCGCTTCGCGCCGGGTCGCTTCGACGTGTGGTTCTCGAGCCATCAATGGTGGCACCTCTGCGTCGTGGCCGCGACGACGGTTCACTACTTCAACGCGGTCCAGCACTACGAGTGGCGCGCGCAGCACGGCTGTCCGATCCGCATGTAGCAGTAGTCGTATGTATCATTGCATCTAAGATCTTATCCCACGCATCGTCGTCGACAGCATGCCATTGGCACCGCGGCAAAGACAGTCCGGTGCGCTGCGTGCTTGCGCCCTCCGCGCCGTGTCTTCGCCGCGCCATGCGCCATGGCTGCAGCACCTCGCCATGGCGGCTTCATGAAGCATCCATGGCTGTCCATGGGCCGTCGGTTGGAGGATCGCTGGTCCCCGTCTGCCGATCCCCGTCCGCAGCCACGCCCCTAGCAATCCACTCGAACCACGCGAAGGCTGCCGTCGTTACTCACGTAACCGGTTCGTTGAACCGGTTCAATGAATCCGGCGACAGAGCACCTTCGCAAGTCGTTTTTCCCGACCCCTACCCGCCCCCACCGTCTTTTTGGCCAATCAGATGCAAGAAGAGGGCGAACGGACCAATCAACGCGCGCGAGGGATGCATCTGCGCCCCAGGCGTCGTGATGCTTGCACCATCAGTGGTAGTCATTTGGCTGCCTCTTGGTACCCCAAGAAATTGGTTTTTATTCAGCAAAAGTCGACCAACCACTGAAATGCTCGGTCGCCTCCTCGCGACGAAGGCGCTGCCCCGCGCCGCCACCCGCGGCTTCGCCGCTGCCGCCGAAGGCCACAAGTTCCAGCTCGCCAACTCGTTCAAGCTCCACAGTAGGCGAAGCGGCTATGGCGGTACCGACGACTCATGGCCGTGGCGTAGACTTGGAGAGCGGCCCCGAAGGCGGTGACTATGCGTACGCGACGCGTGAAGAGCTCCTTGGCTACTACAAGCTTATGTACACGATGCGCCGCATGGAGATCACGTGCGACAACGAGTACAAGGCGCGCACGATCCGCGGTTTCTGCCACTTGTACGATGGCCAGGAGGCTGTCGCGACCGGTGTCGAGGCTGCGTTGAACCGCACCGACTCGTGGATCACGTCGTACCGCTGCCATTGCACGATGCTCGCGCGCGGCGGCTCGGTCACGGGCATCCTCGCCGAACTCTTTGGCAACAAGAACGGCGCGATCGGCGGCAAGGGCGGCTCGATGCACTTTTACAACAAGAAGAACAACTTTTACGGCGGCCAGGGTATCGTCGGCGCGCAGGTGCCGGTCGGCGTCGGTCTCGCGTTTGCGAGCAAGTACAACCACAAGGGCGACGGCCCGATGCCGTGCTCGATCACGATGTTCGGTGACGGCGCCGCCAACCAGGGCCAGATCTGGGAGGCCGCCAACATGGCGGCGCTCTGGAAGCTCCCGTCGATCATCTGTATCGAGAACAACCACTACGGTATGGGCACGTCGACTGAGCGCCACTCGTCCAACCAGGTCTACTACACGATGGGCAACAAGATCCCGGGCATCTGGTGCGACGGCAACGACGTCCTCGCCGTGCGCGAGTGCGTCAAGTTCCTCAAGGAGTGGACGGGCGCCAACAAGGGCCCGATCTACGTCGAGATGTGCACGTACCGCTACCACGGCCACTCGATGTCGGACCCGGGCGTCACCTACCGCAACCGCGAAGAAATCTCGTCCATGCGCGCGTCGCGCGACCCGATCGAGAGCGTCAAGAAGCGTCTCTTGGACGCCAACCTTGCGACCGCCGACGAGATCAAGGAAATCGAAAAGGAAGTCCGCAAGGAGGTCGTCGAGGCGACGAAGGAGGCCAAGGCCGAGGGCCGCCCCGACGAGGCGATCGCCTTCAAGGATATTTACACGGACGGCAACGGCAACAACGAGTTCCCCGAGTTCATCCGCATGCCCGACTTCAAGAAGAGCCTCTACAACGGCAAGCCGCGCAACTAAACCCCTCGTTTCCTCTACCTCTAATACATCATACAGGCGTCTCCCTCTACATACTCGTCTCTTTACATCGCAGCGATAAAGAGACGACGTGCGATGGTGGCCTGGCGTAAGGACGTGAGGATGTCCGTGCGGCCACCGACTGCGCCCCATCGACTTCGAGTCGGTACTGGATTCTTCAGAAATCCAGTGGCCACGATGCCGGTCCCGTCACAAGTGAACCGGGCTCGAGCCCGATGACGCAATCATGTGACATGGCGCTCCCACATGCGTCCTCTGTCAATGCTCGTGAGCCGCAAGGGTCGAAGAACGCTGTTCAAAGACACTTGGTGCCACAGCAAGAGCGCTGGATTCTGTCGACATGGTTTAATGGCGCGGTTTAGACACTGGGTTACCACCTAACCGAGCTGGGTTTGATTCCTGCCACGTCCCTTCCTGATATTTCTGCAAGAGCTGCCACGGCCCCTCGAGGAATGGGGTCTTTGACGAATGTTGCCCGTTCGAGTCTTCTGCACCGCGGAACCCACCTAAAGGTCCAGGGCTCTCTCCTCGTGGCGTGCAACGCTTTTTCAGAAAACACGTCAAATCGACCGACAAAACAAGTAAAATCGACGGCTTAAACATGCTTGCGTTTCGCGCCCTGCTTCTTGGCAACAAAGCTCGGGACACCGGAGCTCGACGCATTGGCCGTGACGAGGGAGCCCCACCACGTCGCATTGGCCTTGACCGACGCCATCTTCTTGGCCAGTGCCCGCACCACGTTGGGTGTCACACGCCCATTGCTCGTCGCTTGATAAAACTGCACCGTGACGCGGAGCGGGTACCTCGTGTCTCGCTGCACGTGGCTGAAGCGGCTCAGCTTGGGGTACGGGCCCTTGGCGTCGTCACTGATGCTGATGATCGCAGCTTCGACGTCCACTCTTGACGGTGCGACCACGTTATTTGGCCTCGCGCTGCGGGAACGAGCGACCTTTCGTAGCGTGGGTTTCGGCTTTTGCTGCAGTGGAATCTGGACAATCATGACGTAGTTGCGTGCTTCTTCGTCTGCTGTCATGGCGACATCGGCGGCGTCGACCCCTCGCTTGGCGCGGTCTTGGGACAAGCGCTCCGCTGCAAACGAGTGCTTCAAGCCGTGGTGGTTGCAGAAGAGGGCCGTGTCGCGCTGGCTCACGACTTGAGCACTACGCATACCAGCGTTCGCTTGCGTCTAGATGTAGAGAACAAAACATGTAATACCTTGTGCCAGCGTCCGTGCAGACCAAGACGAGCACGGCCGGGTCATCCGCCCGCGACTGGTAGTTGAACAAGCCAACGTGAAACTCCGTCTTGCTCTCGGCCTCCTTCTCGATCGGCAAGAAGCACGCTTGCGTGCTCACGACCGCTTGGTCGTCGTGCTGCGGCGCGTATATGCTGTGCTCGAGCTCCGTGTACTTGGTGATCGTCTCGAGGTACTCTTGGAGCGAGATCTTGGTCAACGGCGCGTCCTCGTACGGCGACTCGTTCCCGACAGTGAGCATGATCTGGCGCGTCGGGATGCGCATAATGGGATCTGCAGCCGCATGAGCAAATCAGAACGTCTCAACAACATTGATACCTTGAAAGTTGGGCGCGCGAAGCACAGGCATACGAGTGCGACGGGTGACGAGCGTCATGTCCGAGATGCACGGCCCCCAGCACCTGTCGATGAAGCGCGCGCAGTCTTCCCACGCGACGTTGACGACGTGCAAGCCCTTGCGGCGCGCAGCCGCCTGCACGTCGTCGTCATCAACCATGGCGGCGACGTGGGTCATGGCGCTGACACCCTTGCGGCGGTGAACCGCGTTGTCGTTGCCGTCCATGCGCACGTCGAAGTGGCTGGCCTTTCTAGGAATGCTGGTCGTCGCACTGAAACACACACTCTCAGGCCCTACCCCTTCCTTGTCGAGATCTTGGGATGGCACTGTTGAAATTGCACTTTTGAGATTGCACTTGGAGTTGGTACTTTGAGATGCGTGCGGTGTCGCCGGGCATCAAGTCGCACGACGACGACGAGCTCGAGACGCAGTGTAAGGAGCCCGAGATGTCGATGTCATCAGCAAGTGCATTTGAAGACACTTTCAGTGCTTGCTGCTAAATTATACTCTGGGTTACTCTACCGTGGCTACTACTGTACGAGGAGCGCGAGGACGCCATGCATTCCAACGTGGACGGCGGCCGCGCAAAAAAGACTTTGCGTCTAAAAGAGAAAGTACCGGCGCGCGGCCGGCTTGGCCACGTCGTTGGACGACCGCCGGCGCTGCGCGGCCTGGCTCGCCTGGAACTGCCGCAGCCGCAGTGTGTCGTCGTCCAGACGGCTTTCGTACTCGGACGAGTCGAAAAGGATCGCGCCGGCCGACGGCTTGCGAGGCTGCGAGATCGTGGTCGTCGACGAGAACGAGCTCTTGCGCGAGCCATTGGCGCTGCTGAGGCTCGCCAGCACTTGCGTCTGCTGCCGGACGATGCTTGCGACCTTGTGCGCCTGCTCCGTCACCTCGACGATCTGACGTGATCGCGCAATGCAGCTCTGGATCGAGTCAAACTCGCGCAACGTCGTCTCCGTGAGCTGCGGCGGCTTCCGCTCGTCCGTGCTCTCATCGTCCGTCGTAGCACTCACGTCATCGTCGTCGTCGTCTTCCGAGTCGGACGAGTCGGACGAGAGCACCTCCGAGTCGGCGGCAATGATGCGCGCAATGGCCGTCGTGTCGTCCCGGCTTGCGTGAAACTCGGAGAGAACGCTTGCGAGCTCGGTGGCACCGACCGTCGTCCGCCGGCGATGGTACCGGTCGAGTGGCACGACGCTTCGGGGCGGCGACATTGGGAGGAGGCGGCGCATGTCGTCGTTGGTTTCCCGCAGCTGGGCGATCGTGGCGGCAATCTCGGGCGCGCCGACCGTGACCCGGCGTCCGGCGCGGAACGACGGCACGCGGCTGTCGCTCGCTGCGCGCAATGGAAAGGCCGTCGGAAGCGCTTCGTGGAGCGCTGAGAACACGCGGTACTCGTCCCGGACCAGGACGCGCACGGGTTGCAGAATGTCTTCAATCATCTGGCGCCCAGGCACGTCGGGCACGCTGCAGCAGCTCGACGACGAGGTGTCGGACGACGACGTCAACGATGTCTTGAGGTCGGCCGACCCGCGCCGGTGTGTGAGCCGCACTTGGATAACGCACGCGGTGCAGACGCGGAGCTTGCGCATGCCGAGCTCGGGCACCTCGGCGTTGCGAAGGGCCGAGCACTTGCTGCAGACGACGTTGCCGCATTTGAGGCACGTGTACTTGTGTCGGTAGAGCGACATGAAGGGCTTGATGCACACTTGGCAGTTGCCTTGGTCCTCTGCGAGCGGAATGACCTGCTGCGGTAAGACAAAGGCGTCCCGGCGCATGCGCTGGTACTCGATGTACTTGAGCGTTTTCGAGATGCACTTTTCCACGTGCGACTGGATTGCGGCGTTCGCGGCCCACGTCGGAAGGTCGCCGTTCTTGTCGATGCTGCAGCTGTATGTCATGCGCAGCTCGCCGGCCTTCTTGGTCGTATAGTAGATGAAGCCGACGAGCGGGACGCTCTCCCGGGCAAACTTGCCGGGCGTCTCGATGTACGTGGGAATCTCGACACTCTGCATGACACGGAACGACGTCTTCCGGCCGTGCGCGTCCTCGATCAGGTCGACGTACTCGAGCAAGACGAAGTCCTTGTCCTTGACGAACGGCGTCGCGCTCTTGAAGGCCGCCCACTTGAGGCCCACGTACTGGAACGGCCGCGCCGGCGACGGCAGCACAATGTTGGCGAGGACGGCGCCGTCTAAAAAGTCGGACGAGAGCATGCTCATCATGGCCTTGTACGACTCGGTCGTCGTCGTGATGAGGTTCTCGGTCACGTCCTCGATCTCGGCCGCAAGCTTGGTCGCGGCGTGGACGTTGACGGGCGCGATGCCGCAGAGCTCGGTCCGATGGATCGCAAAGTTCTTCTTCTCGTACACGACCTTCCATGGCAGCGCCTTGGCCATGTTGGTCGCATCGAGGAGCGCCGACGTCATGTGCTTGGCGATCTTGGTAAAGTGCACACGGTCCGGGTCCGGCAGCTCCATGCTGCTGCTCCTGCTGCTGGCAAGTTGGGAAATGGCGATCGGCGGCAGCGGTTGAAATGGCCTGTTGTTGCAATGCAACCAGTTAATTGCCGAAACGCACTTTGCAGTTCAGTGGCTACACCGCCGACCATCCATGTCTAAGAAATCAATAAGGCATTCAATAACGCTACTACGTATCGACTGGTTCAAGTGGCATAAAGAGAACGCGATCGGATGTTCCCATGGTCGCGTGCTGGAAGGCGGGGATCGAGACCGGTCGTTCGCGCCGACGAGGTGCCCGAACGCGAAATTCGAACCGCCGACGGGATTAAGTTCAGCACAAGTCGCCGTCGCTTGCACAACCAGCAGCATGCCGTGCAGGGCTGGGACATACTATTAGCTATGTATGGTACTGCGTCAGTCGGAGCAGTGCTTGCTTGTCCACGCAGCACCGTCGTCGTCGTCGTCGTGCTCCCTGTCGCGTGTCCTTGTCTGCGTCACCACATCCCTTTATTTGAACGACTTGCAATAAGATTTCAGGCCAACTCTAAGATGGGACAGATCGTACGCTCCTACGGTATTACGCCCGCAGCGATATACGACCAGCACGCGACCAGCTACGCCAAGATGATTGATTCGATTCGTCGAAGGAAGGGCTGTCTCGTCGGCTTGCAGTGCAAGATCGCACGCTTCCATCGAATTGCAACGCGGCAATAATCTGGTCGATCATGTCACGGCCCCTTGACACATCACCTGCACTTGACGCTGGATGTGCCCATCATCTGCGGCCAGTGGCGTGCTTCTGGTGACGTAACAATACGCTGGCGTATGCAATGCCAACCTTGACGTTATTAAATAAGACGCGTAACAACGGTATCCCTACGACGACAACTCGACCTCACTTGTCGTCGTACTTGGATAGGACCGCGCGCGCTCCAGCGCGACGGGCGAAACGAGGTCGACCATGCTGCCCCGGCGCTTCTTGAGCGACGCGAGAATGCTGTCGCTTGTCGATCGGAACGGAAAGCTGAGCTTGCGCACGGGCGGCGGCCGGTACGCCGTCTCCTTTGTCGGCAGCTCGTACTCGGCCCAGAGCGTGAGCATCGGGCCAAACACCGAGTCCATCGATGCGCTCGGACACGCCGTGAGCTCTGCGCTCTTCTTGCGCCGCGCCGAGTCCATGCAGCGCAAGCAGATGGCCGCGGGCCGCGTCGGCAAACTCGCGCCTGCCACCTCGACGAGCCGCGTGCACACGCAGGACTTGCAGACTCGCTAGTCGTAGCGATCCATAAGTCCTCTTGTGCATCATTGTAGGAAGCCACGCACCATGACGCACTGGCAGCACGTATGCGTCGTCGAGCCCCAATGGAAGGCGCGCTCGCAGACGTGGCAAACCTTCTGCGTCGTCTCCCTATGCAGTGCAACATAATGAGATGGACGACGACGGTAGGTGTAGCTACGGGAGCGCAATGACTTGGAGCTCTGGCATCGCAAAGCGCATGTCGCCGGCGCGGGCTTGATCCAAGTGCTTGAAGATGCCGGCGAAGCACTGCTCGACGTGCGAAATGATGTAGGACGCATCGAGCTCGTGGCTCAGCGAGCACAGATACGACACGTCGATTTGATCGTGCGCCGAGCTCGTGGCAAACACGAGGCCGGTCATCGGAGCGTTCGGGCGGTCTCCGTTTGCGCCATTGTTGTCGACACTCGGGAGGGCCTGGAGCACGCGGAAGGCCAGCTGCCGCGCGCCGCTCTGCACCACGTCCACGTACTAGACGACATGTCGATTCCCATCGATCGTACACAAGAGGAGGTCCATCCATACCTCGAGGCAGACAAAGTCCTTGGCCTTCTGGAAGAGCTTGTCGTTCTTGAACGCCGCCGACGTTAGTGCAATGTGGCGGTTGGGCGCCTCGGGCGTCGGGCCGACGATTGTGCGCAGGACGTCGCCGGCCACAAAGTCGGACGAGAGGTTGCGCATCATGGCGCAGTAGGCCTCGGTGCTCGTCGCCAAGAGCGCGTCGGCGGCGAGGTTGAACGGCGTGTGCACGTGCGTGGCGGTCGCGTGGACGTTGAGCGCGCCAGCGACGGACCGGAAGATGTTGCACCCGCGCTTCTCCGCGTGGATCCACGAGCAAAGCGTGTGGCGCGAGACCGCTTTGGCGAGCTGCGCGCCCATGGTGGCGGCCAGCGCCACATACACGCTGTTGGGGCTCTCCATGCCAATTCGGAAGTGCGCCAAGACGGCCACGTTCCTCGACGAGCGGTTGAAACGGATAGGATATGCAAATGCACACGTTTAGCACACGGCCGCCACGCAAAAGATGTCGGAACGTAGCGATCGAAGCGGCGGCCAGTGGCCGAAGGTGACGTCAAGGTGCTGCGTGGCGCCTACGACGGGGACGCAGCACGGCCATGGCGCCGACGGCTGTCTCGACTGCTGATTGTGCAGAGCATGAACCTCTTCACACTTATCTCCGCCAGGTGGAGAGCTGCGTGGGTTATATCGAACGCCCGCCCAATTACCAGACGTAACCACCGTTGCTGACTGCACGACAGCCGCCATCAACACGAACCGGAGCGTCGAGTGCATACTGCGTTATCCAAAGCGCACGCTGGGCGTGTGCAACGATATGAGCAACGACACCAGTGGCTCCGACCTCCACCAAGTGTGCAATCATTGCCCTTGCACACTGACCAGCGCATGCACCTGCACGTTCAGCGACGACCAAGTCGGATAGCTCATACCTGATGGAGACTCTGCGAGCTTCTTCGTCGATTCGCTCGTACAAGGTAGCTCAACTAGGAGCATGCAATAAGAACTACTAGTAAGCTGATGCGTACCAGAGGGATACGGTGTCCTGACAGCGCGTCGCCGCCGCCGGTCTGGATCTCGTCGTCGGCGTCGTGCAGTCGTTTGATTGGCCAAAAGACCGCCTTTCCCGTATTTAATGTCTTTAATTAAATATGGATACAAACACCAAGTATAACGGTGGGAAAACAATAAAAGCTCGACACCACCGAGCCGAGTCAGTTTTCGAACCCGCGCATCGGATGCAAGCCAACTTTGGCCGGAGCCACCGCCACATGGGCAACCACCTCCACCAGCGCTCCTTGCCGAAGATGCGCAGCGTGCTCATCTTGCTGCTCCCGCTCGCGTGCCTCTGCGTCGTCTTCTACGAGGTCGGCTACCTGCAGAGCTACGTGGCGACGCCATCGTCGCGCCACGATATGCCGATCTACGACGAGCACTTTCCGCTGAGCAAGCCCGTGGTGACGCGAGTAAACGCTCTCCACGAGCTGACGCCGTCGGCCACGAAGAAGCGCGCGTACAGCCTGCGGCAGCCGACCGACGAAGCGACAACGGCTGCGCCCACGACGGCTGCGCCCACCACGGCCGCGCCCACCACGACGCCGCCGCCGGTAGTGTCGCCGGCACTCGTGGCCAAGACGCCCAAGCCGGTCCACGCTGCCACGCTACCGCGGACGCAGTCAACGGCCGGACGACCATGGTGTTGATTGCCAACTACCGGGACACGCGCCGTTGCGCCGAGACCCTCGACTCGCTCTTCACGAACGCCGTGCACCCCGAGCTCGTCCACGTGAGCATCTTCGACCAGATCTACCTCAAGGACGGCGAGATCCGGTGCATTGACGCGTACTGCAGCAAGGTCGGCGAGGCGGCTTGCCGCCGATCGCAGATGGTCAACAGCACGATCGACGCCGACGACGCGACGGGCCCGACGCGCGCGCGCTACGAGACCGAGAAGGGCATCACGGACGAAGATTTCTGCCTCGCGATCGACTCGCACCTCGTATTTGTCAAGGACTGGGACGCCGAGCTCCTCTCGCAGTGGGACTCGCTCGAGAACGACCATGCGATCATTACGGTCTACCCCAAGTCGACCGAGCTCCTCAACAACACCGAGTATGCCAACCAGCTCCAGCTCATGTGCCACGCGCGCATCGAGTCGTCCGACGCCGACACGATGATCCAGTATGGCGCGCCGATTTGGATCCCGCAACCGCCCAAGCCGCGCCTCATGTCGCAACTCGCCGGCGGCTTCAACTTTGGCAACTGCGTCCAGGCCAAGACCGTCCGCAACGACCCGTACACGCCCTTTCTCTTCCACGGCGAAGAGTACTCACGCGCGGCGCGGCTCTGGACGAGCGGCTACGACTTTTACGTGCCGAAGAAGGACGTCGTGTACCATTGGTACGAGGAGCGCAAGGTCATTTGGGAGAAAGACTGGGACAAGCGGTACTTTGTGCAGCAAAAGGCCAAGCGCCGCATCCGCCACGCGCTCGGGCTCTCGTTTACCGAGGACGACTTTGACCACACGGAGATTGACGCGTTTAAACTCGGGTCGAAGCGGACGTTTGCGCAGTGGATAGAGTTTTCGGGCATCGACCCGAACGCGGCGTACGTCGGGAAGGAAGACAACCAGTTTGACAACTGCAAGGAGCTCACGTACGTATCGTACTAAACAACAACGAAATACTAGATTTTTGCACACAATAATATTGTCATGTATGGCGTTACAGCTCGTCCTTGGCCGGGGCGCGCGAAAGCAGCGATGCATACGCGTGCGTGTTGAACGTCAGCGCACATGTCGGGCACGGAAAGCCGCGCTGGTACACAGGCGTGTACCAAAAGTTGACGGCCACGTTGCGCGGCTCGTTCACGGCTGGCGACGACTTGACCTCGTGCCACCAAAACGACGGCTATCGCAAAGGCAGTTGAAGTGTACAGTTGATAGATTGCAGTCTGGAGAGATGGACGTACGAGGAAGAGCGCGTCACCTTCGTGGATGATGCAGCGCAGCGGCGTGGTGTCCTGAAAGCGCGGGTACTTGCGCATGTCGCTTGGGTTGTTCATGTCGACGGGGCTGTTGACCATCGAGGTCGACTGCAGGAGGCGCGTGCGATGAAAGACGCCGTCGTCGTCGATATCGTACTGCGCCTACGACGCGTCGTATTCGATAGCGTGCATGGCAAGTATCTCGGATCGATCCAGGATCGGTCTACCTCGCGGATGTGACCTTCATAGAGCCGCCGATTGTCGGATGGATCGATGAGCACAAACTCTTTCGAGCCCGCGACCATGACCATGATGTTTTCATACGCGTCAAAGTGCAGTTTACCCACCTAGAGAGTCCAGGGTAAACTCGGTCGCTATTGAGAAACGCGTCCAAGTATCGTACGCTTTTGCCGTCGCCAAACCAGAGGTTTTGGACTTCGAGCTTCAAAAAGTCGGCCCACGCGTACGACGGAATGTCGGCGAGGAGCTCGGGCACATAGGTCGTGAGCGAGAGGTACTCGAGGTAGTACGACGTCGACGAGTTGGTCGCACGCCGTAGCTTGTCAACAAAGGCGGCAAATGGCATGTTGGCGGCGGCCGGCCGGACAAGGACGCGGTCGGGCGACTCGAGGTGGGAAGCGACAAAGTCTGGGATCGCCACGTCATCTACCAGGTACACGCGACATTCCACTGCGCAGAGAGAGATCGTGGTAGAATACCAGCCGCTGACCACCACGCAAGCGGCTCGCAGCCCTCAAAGTCGCCCGTCGGCGACACCTTGACATGGACGTCGTTGCGCCCGATGCGCTCGAGGAGACGCTCCGTCGACCACGCCGGGCTTTGCATCGCGCTCTATCCATAAACATCGCTTCAGCCTGCTACTAGCAAGCGTCGAGCGTACGGTCGCTGCGTTTCGAATGATGAGCGGCTCGTTGCGGAGGACGTGGTCCTGGAAACGAGCGGTTGTCATCTCACTGGCGTCGACGACCTTGCACGAGCGGTCCGAGGTCGACCGTGGAACCGTAAATCGATTCGACTCGAGGGCGTTGACGGTCGCAGCGATCGGCTGCAGCGAGCCATCGAGGGCGCGGAACGTGTGGGCATGGCGGTTGACGAACGCGACGATCGCGTCCGGCGTCACAGGACCCTCTGTAAACACCTGCGGTGGGGGCAAACCTGGCAAGAGGCACGTGCGCGGCGAGGATGCGTCGTGCTTGGGGTAGTAGAGCAGGCGCGGCGACGAGAGGAGCTTGGGCACAATTTCCTCGACGAAGCAGAGGTCCTCGAGGGCAAACGCCGTCTTGGCCTGCCGGAACGCGTCCAGGGACGAGCCCATCGGGCCCTTGTAGACGACGCTCCTGCAGCTCGCATTGAGCGCGGGCCCTCCGAAGATTGACGCGCTGACGTGGCCAGCGCTCAGCGCGAGGACTGCAAGGATGGCGTCGAGATGCATTTTTGGATTGGTGTGTTGCGTGCGGCAGGCGCTGTTCCAAACAGAATAAAATACAGAATGGGAGTGTCGGATACCAACCAACGTCATACTATTCAGGAGACAACGACCAAGCATCCTCGAGCTTCCTGCGATGCATACATGACAGGCCAAGCAAGTGCTCGATGGACTGAGCGTTCGGCTTGCCCATGAGGAGCTGGCAGTAGATCGTGAGATGCCGCTGTATCCGGTGTATACAACATGTTTTAAACGGCAGCGTATGTTGGAAACCGCGGTGCGATCGGATTGGCCAAAATGCTGGTATCTACGATAGCAATCGAATAGAATTTGAATCTCGCCAGGATTAAAATACGAAAAGAAATTAGGACTGGATGCTTGTATGCTCGACAGGTAGGATTAAAAAAGCATGAATATTATTATACCCGAATCCTTGTGGCGGGAGGTGGGAGTTTGTTCGTTTTCCAGCGCCGCCAAGAGCAGAGCGATGGCCACCAAGACGACGCTTCCGTGGGTCGAGAAGTAGTACGTCCATCTTCCTCCGCCCGCGAGCATGGGCTCATGCGTCTACCTAGCCGCCCGAAGAACGTCAGCGACATCTCGCACCAGGACGAGGTCGTCAACACGCTCAAGTCGTCGATCGCGAACGGCCAGCTGCCCCACCTGCTCTTCTACGGCCCGCCGGGCACGGGCAAGACGTCGACGATCATTGCGGTCGCGCGTGAGCTCTTTGGCCCCAAGTTCCGCGAGAATGGCCGGTTCCTCGAGCTCAACGCGTCCGACGACCGCGGTATCAGCGTCGTGCGCGAGAAGGTCAAGGCGTTCGCCCAAGGCGCAATCAGTGGGTCGTCGTCCATGCCGCCGTTCAAGATCATTGTGCTCGACGAAGCCGACTCGATGACCAACGACGCGCAGTCGGCGCTGCGTCGCATGATGGAAAACTACTCCAAGGTCACGCGCTTCTGCCTCATCTGCAACTACGTGAGCCGGTACGACGTCTGTAGTATGCCAAGACATGCAGCTGACGTGCTATGCATGTAGGATCATCGAGCCTGTCGCGTCGCGCTGCGCCAAGTTTCGCTACCAGCCGCTTGAAGTGACCTCCATGACGGCGCGCATCCAGTACATTTGCGGGCAAGAGGACGTGACGTGCGCGCAGGACGCAGTGGACACGCTCCTCGAAGTCTCGAGCGGGGATTTGCGCAAGGCAATCAACTACCTCCAGAGCGCCAAGCAGCTCAATGGCGCCGAGATCACAAAAGACGACATCTTGGCCATCGCAGGCGTACGCAAGCCATTGCATTACCTCTTCCCGTAGCGCAACCTGTGTGTAGGTGGCCCCCAAGGAGCTCTTTGACAAGCTCTGGCGCCACGTCGAGTCCAACTCGTTTGATCTGATGAAGAACGAAGTCGACGACATTATTTACAGCGGGTTTCCCGTGCTCACGATCTTGCACCAGCTCGTGGACGAGATCCTTGCGCACAAGAGCATGTCCCCGGGCAAGAAGGCGACGGTCTGCCTCCGCGTTGCCGAAGCCGACAAGAAGCTCGGCGACGGCGCGAGCGAGCACCTCCAGCTCCTCGACGTCGCGTCGTTCCTGATGCAAACATACCACGAGACGTAAGACAAAGTAGGACAGCCGTGTTGCAATGATGCGTTTACTGCATGTGCGTCGGCGGGTTGATGCTTGCGCTGCCTTCTTGCAGCGACGAGAGCTGGCGCCACGTACCGTTCGACTCCTTCCATAGAGACACGTGGTCCTCGCCCGCAGCGACGCTCAAGATGTTGCCTAGCGCACATTTACAACTAGGAGACGAAGTCTTCCAGGACACGTACCCGTGATGGACCAGCTCAGTCGAAACACGGGCGACTTGAACGTGGGGAGGACCACCGACGACCACGGGCCACCCGCCGTCGACTGCGTCCAGACAGCGACCGTGTGATCGTCCGAGCAGCTCGCAATCGTATTGCATGGCATGCCAGCGCTTGGCGCCCAGAGCACGTCCCGAACCCAGTCTCCATGGAGTGGTGGCAGCTCTTCGATCCTACCGGCATGATGAGAGATGCGTCGGCTTCGTATTGAAGCGGTACCGCTGCCACGTGCGCGAGCTGTCGGCGTCGCTGAGCGTCCAAATCTTGACGAGCGAGTCGCAACCGCCAACAACGAGGCGCTTGTGGCCCTGGCCGCCGAGCGAGTTGTACGGCGCCCAGCTCAACGCCATGCAGCCGACGTCGTTGTCGTGGAAGTGCGACGTCGTGACCCAGCCCTCGCGCGTCATCGTGAGGACGGCGACAGTGCCGTCGGCGGAGGCAGACGCGAGCATGAGACCATACTCGTGCGGCGCAAAGTCGATGGCGTTGATGCTCGACGTGTGGGGTGTGTGCACGTGGAATTGGACCCAGTCCTCGGGCGCGGCCACGGGCGCGCGGTTGCGGAAGAAGACGATCTTACCGCACTGCGTCGAGGCGGCGAGCACGTTGAACTTGGGGTGCGACCATGCCATGCGCCAGACGGGGCCATCGCACGGGACCGGCAAGCAGGCGATGAGCGCACCCGGCGTCGTCGCGTCGCCCTTGGTCTTGGCCTCGTAGATGCGCACAGAGCGGTCGCCGGAGCACGTCGCAATGCGCTTGCTATGGTAGTCCATCTTCATGTCGTAGATCATGTCCAAGTGTTCGGTCTCGAGGCGGCCCGCTGGCGTCGCCGTCATCGTCGGGTCCATGCTGGCTGGAACGGACAGGTTTCGTTGTCATCATACGGATACCACACTCCCGGACAATCGCTCGGTGAACGCAACAGAGAAGTTACTGACGTGGCGCGCTCCCGTTTCAGTATCGTGTCGTGGCCCAATCAGCGCGCGCCACGAAAGATCTCCCGCGCAATGCAAGGCGCTCCTCGAAGTAGCAACAAAGACAACCCCTCGCACTACAATGACCATCACCCAACGACAAGCTCCATCGCTCCGTCCACCCCTGCATCGTAGAAGCATCTTGGCCCTGCGCAAGTCCCGCGCCAAGGGCAAGGAGCGCGTCATGGCCGAGGCTTTGCATCGTTGAGCGCACCAAGAGACAACGGCGATTTGGGTGTAGTATCGTTGTATGGCGGGAAGGATCCACCAATGCTTCGTGCTTGCAGAATAGCGAACGTGAGATACTGTCGTTGCCACCATTTGGTGTTCTCGGTGGTCCCAACCTATCACTTGTCTGATATTTTCAACGCGGAACGGGGTGGCGCGTTTGATTACGTACTCTTGCAAAGCAGAGCGACGCACGCCCTCGTGCCTCCTTCTCGCTCCCTCTCGCATCTACTGCGTCCGCGCTCATCTCTCTCTCGACTCGCTCGCGCCGTATAAATAGTGGCCTCCTCACATTGCAGCTTGGCGATGCGACGCGAACCAAGATCCAAGTCGCATCTCGTTGGACCAATCACGTCGTGCCACACCATGAAACCGGTCCATAGTGAGAATAAAAATACGCTGGTATTTAAATGTCACGTGCCGACGGTCCCTACGTCTTGACACACGCGCGACGGCATTGGGAACAAAAAATACGGCGCATTTTTATCCCGCGTTGCGGCGGATTCGAGAAGATCGCGCGAATTTCAACCGCCGCATACAAAAGGCAAGATGTTTGGCCGAAGAACAGAAAAAGAAAGGAAGGGGTAGGGGTTCATGAATCAACTGGCGCCTTTGTATGGGCGAGAAAGAGGCGGAGCACGATTTCAGCCAACCAGCGGCCAGCATTCGCCAGAAAGGAAAAAGAGCCGAGAAGCTCAGAACCCGTTTGTTGACTGACTGGACTTGAGGTAAGCCGGCGACGGCGCATGGCGGCCGCGCCGCAAGACGAGCGGCCGCCATGCACGGATGACGACGAGGATGGTGCTCATGGACCCTCTTCCTCCTCCTCCTAGTTCTCTTCCTAAGCACCATGAACCCCGAATAGTACGTGGATACGCTGGCAGATGGGGACAGGCCGCTGACGATGAATGTGTAGCGACTACCTGTTCAAACTGCTCCTCATCGGTGACTCGGGCGTCGGCAAGTCGTGCTTGCTCCTGCGTTTCGCCGACGACACGTACACGGAGAGCTACATCTCGACGATCGGCGTGGACTTCGTAAGCGCATGCAGCAGCGCAATGGGAAGGCTCATGCGAGCGTGGATGTAGAAAATCCGCACGATTGAGCTCGACGGCAAGACTATCAAGCTCCAGATCTGGGACACGGCCGGCCAGGAGCGCTTCCGCACGATCACGAGCAGTTACTACCGCGGCGCCCACGGCATCATCGTTGTGTATGATGTCACGGACCAGGAGTCGTTCAACAACGTCAAGCAGTGGCTCCACGAGATTGACCGGTACGCGTGCGAGAACGTCAACAAGCTCCTTGTCGGCAACAAGAGCGATTTGACGGCCAAGCGCGTCGTGAGCACGGACGCGGCCAAGGACTTTGCCGACAGCCTCGGCATTGAGTTCCTTGAGACGTCGGCCAAGAACGCGGCCAACGTCGAGAAGGCCTTTATGATGATGGCCGCACAGATCAAGAAGCGCATGGCGAGCGCCCCGATGCAGTCGAAGCCCGCCATCAGCCTCCAGCCCGGCCAGAACGTCTCGGGCAAGTCGGGCGGCTGCTGCTAAGCGCTCTAGTGGTTTGAACTCTGTGAAGAGTGCAGAAACCATGGCTGCTTCTTCCCACACGACAAGGAGCTCCGGCGAGTAGCCATGGATATTTTATATTTTTCACAACGTATTTTGCATTTCGTTGCCCTACTTGTCGTGCTGGAAAGCAAAGATCTCGGCGCGCATGACATAGGTGACCGCGAGGGCCAGCAGCACGACGACAGTGGGTACCACAACGCTCAACGTGTCCTTGCGCTCCCACGCAGGCGCCACGGACGTCGGTGCAGCCTCGGACGCGACCACGGGGTCGGCAGCCTTGGCGTACGGCTTGACCTTGCGCTCCTTGAGCTAGTACAAGATGAAGCTGTTTAGAGTCGCAACCGATGATCGTACCGACTGCTCGAACTCGTCGATCTTCATGCGCAACTGCCATGGCACCGAGATCTTCTCGCGCTGCAGCACCTCGATGAGCTCGTCGCGCTTGGCAAGGAACGCCACGTAGAGCTGGAGGACGGTCTCGCCCAGTTCCGGGTCCTGCTTGGCCTTGAAGTGGGCGTCCTGGAGCTTCACGTCCAGCTGCACGAGCTCGTTGCTGAGGCCCGTGATGACGTCCGTGCGCATCTCGACATGCTGCAGCGCTTCGGTGAGGAGCGACGCCATCCTCTCTCCAAAGGGCAAAATGGCTAGTCTGTCGTCAGCTGCGATTGGCCAAATATGTTTCCATGCTTATGTTTGATTGGACAAAAGTGGACACGTTGGACAAACTTCGTATTGCAGTCCTTGCAGGCGTTGTAATCGTCGTCGACTGGGAAACGATTCTTGGTAATCTACCTAATAGAGATCCAAGCAATACGTAGCCTTTCAACGCCAATCAGTGCTTCTTGCTTTTCCGTTGGATCTACCTGTTGGCACCCGGTTCTCAAAATCGTGAGCACCTGAGCCGTGACGAGGCTCAGCATATGCCCACAGAAGAGACTGATGAAAGAGCCACGTCGCTTCGAGCTGGATGCGGAGGCTTGCTAGTCATTCATGCCATACGCATTAGAGAACTACCGTTGCTCGACCCTACTACACCAAGAGAGGTATGCCCTTTCTGCGATCGAGTTCAAGATGCATGTCGTCTTGGGATTGGCTGAACGGCGTCAAATCCTGTCGACGCGCGCTTCGATTGGCCAAAAAGATTTTCCCGCGAACGACGTCAAGTGCCAAATCCGACTATGTTTAGCATCAACGGCCCCAGTGGTCCGACGAACCGCAACGAGCGGGCGCCACGACCGCCCGGCAGCGAGAAGCGCAAAGGGCATGCGCCTCGCCGGCCAACGACGGTCCCGAGCTCCGGCCATCCAACGCTGAGCGCCATCTTTCAAGTACGAAAAGAGATGCAACTGGCCATTTTGACAAGCACGGGAGCGTAGGGATGCAACTTGTACTTTGACGGACGCACCGGCAACGTCTCGTCGTCCGACTTCTGCGTGTTTGCACCCTCGATGGACTCATCCGGTGTGTGCCGTAGATACTACATGACCAAGATGGTCAAAGAGCATGGCGCCAGCGTCTCGTGAGTTGCTCTACCTGCAGCGTAGCGACTGAGACGATGTACTAGCATCATGCACCGCAAGACGCGCGTGACCCATATCGTAGCCGAGAACCTCAACGGCTCCAAGACCGAGGCCCTCCTCAAGGTACGACGCGTCGACACGTAAGATGGGTCGTCACGACCCCCTAGTCGAGGGGGAAGATTCTGTGCGTGCACCCGAATTGGGTCCTTGACAGCATCAAGAAGGGGAAGCGCCAGCCCGAGTTCAAGTATGCCATCTACAAGGACGCTGCGGCCGCCTCGAGTATTCAAACCTTTTTCCAGCCACCGACAACGACGACGTAATCACAGCCCCATATTTTTGTCCCTACTGCGCTTGCGTACTACCGGCTAGTTGAAAGCCAATGCATTCTCGCGGATACGGTAACGCGAGTGAGGATGCAGGGTGTGGCCGCAGTGGCCGCTTTGCATGACGATGCGAACGGCCGGTGCACCGTCGCTTCATCGCGCGTGAGTCTCTTAGCGAGTCGTCTTCATCTCCACGCTGCATAAGCTTCATCAACCAGCCGCTAGAGCTCGTCGAGCAATGACAGATACCGTGGATCAGACACGTCGGCGTCGGGAAAGGCAGCGTGCACGCATGTGTCTTGGCGAAATCGAGGTTGGAGTATCGAGGCGGCAGGTGGAGACAGCCGGCTATCGAGCAAACGGTGTCATGGGAAGTCTCCGCACGCCCTTCTTGCTGGTAGCTTGCTGACGTCGTGCTTGGCGCGACTGTTGAACTGGTGACCATCTTGACCAAACGGATCGCCGGCGCTGATTGGCTCGTTTTTTGCGGTGTGCACTTTCGACGTTTTTTGCAATCGTCCGATGCTTCGCCGCCTGTCGTCGCTCCGCAGCTTCCGCGGCTTCTCGACGGCCACGGACGCGGCGACCGCGTCGCTCCAGAAGGTGCTTCTGATGCGACGCCTCACGCCATCATCATCATCATCCTCATCCTGCGCAGGGCCTCTCCAAGAACAGCAGCAAGCAACAGCCGCAAGCGGACGACAAGAAGAAGGAGCCTGTCGACGACGCGAAGGCCAAGCCCGTGGACGCGCAGCCGTGGATCCAGAACGCGGCCGAGATGAACCTCGGGTCGTTTGCGCCCAAGATCGTCGTTGTCGGCGTCGGCGGTGCAGGCGGCAACGCAGGTCCGTCCTCCATGTCTGCTTTGCCGATGGAGCCGACATCGTCGCCTAGTCAACAACATGATCGCGCGCGGCCTCAAGGGCGTCGACTTTCTCGTGTGCAACACGGACGCGCAGCACCTCAAGACGACGCTGACGGACAACCGCGTCCAGATGGGCTCGGAGCTCACGGGCGGCCTTGGCTGCGGCGCCAACCCCGAGGCCGGGCGACTGGCCGCCGAGGCGAGCTTGGACGAGATCATGGACAAGATTGGCCACGCCAACATGGTAGACGTATGAGGCCGATACATAATGCGCTGATCTGCGTTGGTAGATGTTTGTGACGGCGGGCATGGGCGGAGGCACCGGTACGGGTGCGGCACCAGTGATTGCTCAAGCGGCGCTCGACTCTGGCATCTTGACCGTCGGCGTCGTCACCAAGGTACTAGACGAACGACGCGCTTTCCACCCATCATACTACCACGCCACTTGTAGCCGTTCAAGTTTGAGGGCAGCCACCGCGCCAAGCTCGCCGAGCAAGGCCTCCACGAACTCAAGCAAAGCGTCGACACGATGATTGTGATTCCGAACCAGAACCTCTTCAACATGTCGACCGAGAAGACATCGCTCATGGACGCCTTCCGGTATGTCCAGCATCTCGATCCTTGCGTCGCGATAGGCATGGCCTCGTAGCGTCGCCGACGACGTGCTTCTCTCGGGCGTCAAGAACATCACCGACCTCATGGTCATGCCGGGGCTCATCAACCTCGATTTCGCCGACGTCCAGTCGGTACGACCATGTCCTCGATCAGTCCTAAAGCACAACCGATCATTTCAGGTGATGACGCGCATGGGCAACGCCATGATGGGCAGCGGCGAGGCTGAGGGCGACAACCGCGCGCTCCGTGCCGCCGAAGCCGCGCTCTACAACCCGCTTCTCGGCGACCTCTCGATCCGTGCGGCCAAGGGCATGCTTGTCAACATCACAGGCGGCCCGGACATGACGCTCTTTGAGGTCGACGCCGCCGCCGAGCGCGTGACGCAGGTACCGTCTCACGCGTTACATGGCGCGTCTGCATCGTACTATGGGAATAGGAGGTGGAAGATCCGCTCGCCAACATCATCTTTGGCTCGTCCTTCGACGCCAACATGACGGGCAAGATCCGCGTCTCAGTCGTCGCGACGGGTATCGCGGACGAAGGTCGCTCCAAATAAATCATCTGTAATGACGACAATCATGAGTCATGATTGTCATGATTCATGACAGACGGACCGCTCACAGTGGTCTCATGGCGAGGAGGAAGCGCGTGGAAGGCGACGAAGGAGGAGCTTAAAATTAGATAGTCGAGTGAGTGCGAGGGTTAAAGTACACGAGGTAAGGCGGAGAGTCGAGGATTGATCGTCTAGATCAAGATGCCGGTGGCCTTGGTTGCTCGGCCCGACGCCATTTCCCGTTGAATGTCGTCGAGCTCGAACGTCTCCCACATCGTCGAGAGCCGGTACATCTTTTCCTGCTTGGTGTTGGCATAGCCGTCGGCAATGACCACGTCCTTAAGTGCATCGACAACCGACGGCCGCGCGTCCGTGCACTTGGACGCGCCGTCCAGATACGACGACTCGGGGTCATGGGCGGCGCTCGATTCTTTGATGAACGAGCACTTGACCTGGCGTAGCGTCTTGGCGTCGCTAAGCGATTGCGAGATGCGCGTGCGCCGCTTCGAGACTGCATACGACATGTCTTTGGCCGAGTTCATGGTCGAGCAGTCCGAGTCGAGGCCGCCGTTCTTGGTGCGCTGCGTGAGCATCAGGTCGTCGTCGTCGGCGTCGCGTCGGACGATCGACGAGTGGCGATGGATCGGCTGCGCGCCGCGGTGAAAGAAAGGCCGGACGATGTTCTGGAGGCCGGCGCCGCATGTGTTGCACTTTGGCTTGGCCGAGAACGCGCGGCCAATGATGATTTGGATAAAGCTTTGGAGGTCGCGGACACGCTGGCGCACGAGCTTGTTGGTGCGGAACCACGCCTTTGGCGGAAACGGAAACGACGCGATCGCGAGCGCCGTGTTGGCGCAGCCCGGGCAGCCCTGGCTGCGCTCCAAGAAGCGCAGCACCTTCTCGCGCAGCTCCAAGAACTGCGAGTAGCGCCGGTTGACGGTCCACTCGGCCAGAGGCGCCTCGTCGACCTTGACGCAGATGCAGTAGAGCGTGTGCGATGGCCGCTTGAGCGCCGCCGGGATGAAGACGGCGATGCCCACGGCGGCGTCGGCGACCGACGTCGTCGTCGTCAGCATGCTCGTGGCTGGTGCAATGGCGAATGGCCTCGTGCGTAATGCGATGCAATCAAGAAGGGCGTGTCGCATGGATCGCCTGGAATTCAGCGTTTTAATCCAATACAAAAATCAAGCTTAAAATGAAATTTTAAACCCAGTCGAAGTGCATGGGATCTTCGTGACAACTTCGTCGAAGCAAATCCGTGAGTTACGATTGGTCCATTTTGGCGCGGCCTGGTTTGAGGGCGGAGACGAGGACTTTGCCTTTCTCGGCGTCCGAGCGCATGTGATATGCATTGCCTGCGCCGGCCGCAGTGCTACTGCTGCTACGCCTGAGCGCTCGCTTACTAGCAGGCCGTCAGAGACCACAGGGCCATGGAGACGCAATCGCGATAGACGGGCTGGCTGCGTGGGGCGACGGAGCGATTCAGGGCGTGCGATTCAGTGCGCATGGATGACACTCGACAAGCCCGACGCGCCGAGGATATACAGCAGTAGAAACAAGGACCTGGCAAGGTGCCACTGATCTCCGCGGCTGCCCGATGCCGACGACGCTGCATCAAGCGTGTCATCGATGCGCGCATCGTGCTTGCAACGACCGCGGCTGGGAGGTGGGATGGACCGTCTGTCATTGCGCGCTGTCGGATGACGCTAGGCTTGTCTGTCGGCGTCCACGCGACCGACGTCCACTGCAAATCTCTCATCTTGGTCGCGCACAGGATGCCCCCAGATCACGCCACGTGTGGTTTGACGGATTCCAGCTGTTTTGGGGGACCCCGTGTCGCGAATCGCATCGGGGTGGGCCCAAATTGGTGTAATTTGTGTTGGGCCCCATGCGTTTGGCGCAGCTCGCGCTTGAGCGCAACGTCCGCTCCGTGCTCGTCGACCTCTCGTCCGGGTACCACGTACGTCGTTATCGGTCGCATGCTTGCGCCTCACGCTTGCGCTCTAGGCGGCCACGTGGCATGCGATCCTTCCCGCCCTCCGCAAGTAGGCAATGATGACCAGCGTTGCGTCGAGCTCATGGCTCCACTAGGTCGGGCTTCAAGCTCGGTGTGCATCTTCCGCCAGCCGCGACGCTAGATGGCGCCTACGACTTTGCTACGACCGAGCGCATGGTGCGAGACGTCGTCCATTGCGCTGGCGGATTCGATCTCGTGGCTAGAGTCAAGCGGCGTTCGTCGACGCGGCCGCATCGACGCTCGCCGTGCCAGCGAGCCGCACGCTGCTCGTGCAGCCACAAGCCGCCGAGCATGTTGCGATGGTCGGCCTCGATACGAGCACAGCGGTGCCCTTCCCGACGCCAGATACGCTCGTGCAGGGTACGCCCGTGGATCCAACTCTCTTTGACGTGTGCGTAGATCTGCTCGGCTTCCAGCACTGCCTCGACCCTCTCTACCGCGCCTTTGGCCCGTATGCGATCCGGTTGTCCGAGGTCTTTTACGAGTCGACCCACTCGGTCGCGCTCGTGAACCTCAAGCCGATCGTGCCAGGTACAAAACACTTAGCATTTTCCTCGACAAAAGCGATAGCATTCTGTAGGCCACGTCCTCGTCATTCCAAAGCGCCGCATCGATCGCTTCACCAACCTTGACGCGGATGAAGTCGCCGACTTGTGGCAGTCGGCGCAGGTCGGTCGGCCTCCCCGACCACTCCTCCAATGCATCGTCGTCGTAGCACATTGCGAAGCACTACAACGCGCCGGCCTTTACGTTTTCGATGCAGGTGGCATTTCATGTCATCATGTCCTCTCGTCGGCTCATCGAGTCGTCTCTCGTCCATAGGATGGCGCGGCCGCCGGTCAAACCGTGCCCCACGTGCATGTGCACGTGCTGCCACGCACGCCCGGCGACTTTAAGAAGAACGATGACATCTACGACGAGGTAGAGAGACGAGGTATCGTCGTTGCCTTTATCAATCGTGTTGATAGCTGGAAAGAAACGACCAGCGGCGCACCATGGACCTCGACGAAGACCGGCCGCCTCGCACGCTCGATGCCATGGCCGCCGAAGCCGCCCTCTTGCGACAGCGTTGCCGTCACTAGAGGAGGAAGGACGTCAGCAGTTTGGCGGCTGCCGCATCCAACGACGGCAAGGCGCAAAACGGCACGTGTACGACGGACGCAAACCCTTCGTCGACCTAACCACACGAATCGAAACCTTGATAGTGGCCAGGTCGCCTACCGAGGGCGGAACGAGGTTCTTGAAGAAGCCGTGAATCACCATGTCGGGCACGTCCGACTTGTGTTCGGCCGCGTCTGGGTGCAACTGCTTCATGAGCGCGCGAAATGCATTGAGGTGGAAGACGAGCGGTTTGGGCAGATCGAGGTAAAAACAACGCACCGACACCCCCTATTCCTCCATCGCAACCGCCTACAGTACCGTCACCTTTGTATTACCTGTGCCTTGGCCATCTCGATCCACTCCTTCCGGCTCTACCATACGTCCATGACGACGGCAAATCAGAACGGACGCTACCTTGACGTCGCGGTTCGTGTTGTCAATCAGGACGCTCTTGCCACCGCGCAGGCTCTCGAGCGCGGCCTGCTTGCACTTGGCGGGTGTCTTGAGCGTGTCTTGGTTGATGCGCGCGTAGTCTACCGTAAATCTGTCAAAGCGAAGGGCGTTTCGCGAGGTGCACCGCCAAAGTAGGTGCGACAGAACGTGCTCTTGCCCGAGGCCGGGCTACCGACAAGCACGACCATCTCGGTCGCGTCCGAAGGTCGGCACGTCGCATCGATGGCGTTCACGTCTAGCATCCATTTGTAAACATGTCGTACGAGGGATGTCATTACCTTGAAGGAGCGAGCGGGGGTCGAACCCGAGGTCACGGAGCGTCGGGTCACAGTGGAGGCTCAGCTTCGAGTTGAGGAAAAGCTGCTCGGGCGTCCAAAACGGCACGCCGAGGTTGAGGGCAAACTTGTAATCCCCTGCAGAAAAGTCTTTCTTCGCCTTGCCTGTGGCTGCACACGCCTTGAGAGGTTTCTACAGTGCTATGTGTGGGGTACCTTTGGGCCGCCCGGCAGCGTCGCCGCAGTAGAAACTCTGGGCCATGTCCACATCGAGGTGAAACTCCGAGACCTAGGAGACTTGAACCCGCGCCAAGGCCCGTTGCCGTCGCACCATAAAATCCCATGCCCCCGTGCGTGGCTTGCGGTTCATGTCGTTCTCGGGCAAGAGAAAAAACCACAGCGGTAGCGCCAATGTCGCTGCAATCGCTTCGATCTTGCCCTGTCCACGCAGGTAGTTACGTTGCGATGCAATATGACGTGGTACCTTGAGCCCTTTCTCTGTAACCTTGCCCTTGGAGAGACCGCTTTGGTTGGAGAAGACGACGAGCTGGAACCCGTCGTCTTCGACGAGCGACCGAAGCTTTGTGGGCACCGACTCGTGCCAGAGCTTCCAGTCGTCGTCGTGGACAGCGAACGTCTTGCCGCTCTTGGTCGTAATGAGCGTGCTGTCCATATCAAAGTCTTGATGCGGCGCTTCGCCACTATCGACGGCGTGGCAACGTTGGCGCACCAGAGAATCGACCCGGCCTTGGCCCATGTGCACGCCGTCGTTACTGCTTTCACCTTCTTGGCCACGGGCTCGACGTCGATCGCACGCTTGCGAGGCAGCGGAAGCAGCTTCTTTTGCGCAAGGCAGTCTTGGCAGTCTTGGAGCCACTGGACGGACGCAGGAGGGCCAACGACGAGGTCTGTGCCATCTCGACGACGACGCCGCCCGCCTCGGCGATCTTGGTGGCAAAGACGCCGAGCTGCTTCGTCGAGAGCGTCTTCGGGTCGAGCGCTACCGTCTTCTTGGCGAAGAAGGCCTTGGGCGACCGTGTGATGAACTTGTCCATCGTCGCGCTGATCTTTCGCTCGGTTCGGACCGGTGTGCCAATGCCATTGGCTGCCGTTTCCGGATGGAAGGTATCCGGACAATCGCGTGGCACAACTCCACGCTTCGCGCCAAGCCGACGCAGCTGGCGCCCATGTTGCCGCGAGCGTCGATCTCGTCGGCCGCCTTCTCTCGGGTGCGACGAGGAGCTGCCTCGATGGGCCGCGCCAGCGCCTCATGACAGCAGGCGTCAGCAGGCGACGTTGATACGTACACGGACCCAGCCAGTTCTGCCGCCTCGTTTTTCTTGCACGGTCGAGGCCCGTCACATGCGTCCCAGTTGCTGCAGCTGTTGCTGCCCATGTAACAAGGTCAATGCGCTGCGGAGCTCAATGCCTTGGAAGGACATTGCGATGGCGAGCGACGATCCTTCAGCGCAGAGCTTGGCCGCGTCACGGTAGGTAGCGAGTAGCCTCGGGAGCGACGCAGCCTCGTGGCTTGGTCGACTTGATAGCGTGGTTGATAGCGTCGTTGATGGGGTGGGCGGACTGGAATCTTGCTATCGGGCGCCTGCGACATGCATTCATGGGCCAATGAGAAAATTCCAACGGTTTCTGCCAATCGCTGACGAGTATCAACACGCAGCAGAGTCACTGCCCCATTCGCTGCCCCACTGCCGGAACCATGCGCCGACGCCGAAGTACGAAGGCGTCGACGCCGACAGTAGCCGTGGCGCCGCCGCCAGCCGAGGCCAAGGCCGCCAAGAAGATCATCAAGGACCAAGCAACGTTCAAGCTGCACGTGCATGGCCTCGAGTTCCATGGCGGCGAGGAGCTCGTCTTAAACCTCGACGCGCTCAAGGCCGAGCTCACGTTTCCGGACGACGACAACTACGTCATGGAGATCTACCCGCTCAACAACCACGACGAGCCGCGCCGCCACTTGCTCATGGACGTACCGTCGGCGGACGAGCTCAAGGCGAAGAAGCCTGTGAAAGGCAAGATGTCGCTCAGTGTCCTCAAGGACACGGCGAGCCTCTTTAGCTTGCCGGCGCTCCAAGACGTGGTCGTGCGCTTCATCGAGAAGACGCGCGTCGAAGTCGACTTTGTCGAGGTCTCGATGAAGGACCAGTTCCTCTCGCGCCGCGACCTCTGGTACTTGAAGCAAGCGATGGTCGGCAAGGCCGTGTACGTCGGCAAGATGGTGCGCATGCACGGCGCGCGGCTCCAGATCACCGAGATGGTCTTTGAGAACGACAACGTCACGAGCGGCGTCCTCACGGCGAAAACGTGCTTTGTGTACCGCTCCAAGTCATCGCGCGTCTTTTGGCTCGTCCAAGTGAGCCCGGAAATGTGGGACATGGTGCGAGAATCCTCGCTGCCCGCGCCTTTGTTCATGCCTTTATGCATAGGCCAACGACGGCGACTTGTACGCCGAGGAGCTCTTGCGCATCGCGCACGTCCTCTTTACGAAGTGGCAGTCGATGCACGTCTCGCACAGCCTCACCATCATCTTCTTCGCGCGCACGTTCTACGACACGCCGCCGCCGCCGTCGATTCCGTCTGTCGAGGACGACGGCGTCTGGTTCCACGACTTTTACAAGGTCATCTCGTACGGCAAGAACGGCGCGACGGATGCGTCGGTGCTGCTCACGGACATGAAGCGTGAGCTCAACGTCCTCCCGCATATCTGCCAGTGGCGGCTCGACGGCGACACGCTCCGCGCGGGGACCGGTCGGCCCGCGACCGCCCGCGACGGCAACGTGCTCGAGGCGCTCAATCTGATTTTGAATATTTATGAAAAACACTACATGGACCGCGACCTCAACCGCAGCGGCCAGAACATTGCGCTCTTCACGGCCGGCAACGGCATCTTCCGCGTCAACCAAGACCTCGCCGAGATGACGGAGCAGCGCATGATGGACAACGGCATTGGCTTTGACGTCATCTCGCTCTCGACACCGCCCATGGAGCCCGTGCCCCGCTTCTTGTTCAAGAAGCCACCGCCGACAATGACCAAGCCCGTCTTTCCCGGTGTCGTGCCGGCGTGGATCAGCATCTGCTTTAGCCGCTACGAAGAGCAGCTCGCAACAGGGTTTGAACCGCTGCCGCACTGCCGACTCTTTGCGCTGCCGTCGACGGGGTGCCCGAAGCCCCTCGCGTTTCTTCTGCGGCACTTTAACTACGACGCAATCGCAGATGTGCTCACGCCCGTCCTAAACGCCCATGTGCCACCGTCGCCGGTCCCGACCGCGGCCAGCAACGCGCTCGTCAAGACGCGCCCGCATGCGATGGTGGCCCTCGACGACTACGACGACGACGTCTTTGCTCTGCACCCGACGTCGTCTCTGTCGAGCGTCGACAAGTCTCCGATGCTGCTTTGCGCGACGCCGCCATTGCACGGTGGCATCTTCTTGGCCAACCCGAAGCGCCTCCCTCGGTCCAAACCGACGCTCGCGGGGTCGCTCCCGAGCAACTATGGGCTCTCGCCCGAGCTCAAGGCGACCATGGTGCCGGCGCTGCGGTCGCCGATGCACTTTCAGCTGCCAGCGCGGTACGCGAGTCCCCAGCCGGGCGGGAGTCCGCAGTCGCCGCCCCGCGGCTTGGTCGCACGCAAGCTCACGAGCCCGCAGTTTATGACGTCGACCATGCCGTCGTCGTCGTCGGCCAAGAAGGACGAGAGCAACAAGCCGCAGGTGTCAACCTTGTCGCTCAACAGCAACCGCCGACGGTGGAGCCAAGTGTACCGCTACGATGTGCAGCAGCAGAGCTTCACGCTGGACTGGAAGAGCCTCTGCGTGCCGGCGCTGCTGCCGTTGACGAGCGACTTTATGCCGAAGCCAAAGGAACTCGGCGACCACTACTCGCAGGTGCCGTATGCGGTGACGCTGCCGGTCATTTCGAACGGCGGCCACGACGGCGGTGCCATGTACAGCAGCCACAAGGAGCTCGTGTGGGAGATGGTCGCGCAGCGCTTCTCGCAAGACTTTCAACTCGTCGAAGAGAAGCTCACGCACGACAACACGACCGTGTACAAGCTCAGCATGGGCCACCGCATCCACGAGATCACGTACAACGGCGACAGCCAGCAGATCGACGTCAAGCGCTATCAACTGCGCGCCCGAGGTACGATGGCCTTTGCACCAATTCGACGTGGCATTTCCATGCGTAACATGTAGAACCCATGAGCGACGATGGCAAGCGACGAGGTACGAGCAACTTTATCCATCCCGTATTCCCACGCTCAGGTTGCTCAACATGTACATACATATATAGGCAGCAAGATGGACTATCTCTACGCCATGTGGTCGCCCCTCACGCAGACGTTCCTGCCGTCCAAGCAAGAATTTCGCAAGTACCCGATGCAAGAGTACAGCTGGAACTACCTCGACCACCTCATTTGCGGCTACTACGACAACATGACGGAGCAAGTCAAGTACAAGCGCGGCCACTACTGCGTGCTCCCGCCCGCCCTCGCGCATCTCGCAGACGACGACGACCGCGAAGCGGCCTTGCAAGACTACGGCGACAAGTTCAATCGGTTCCTCGACTACATCCGGCTCAAGGCGCGCGGGAAGGACGACAAGACCGAGTCCGACGCGACGCTCCTCGACGTGACGCCCCTGCTGACAAAAGTGCAGCAAGCGGCCAAGGAGGAGCGAGAGGCCAAGGCGCGGGACGCGCAGAAGGCGCTGCAAGAGGCGCAGGAAGCTGGACAGACGCGGCAGGCGGTCAATGGCAAGCCAGCCGACACCGTCGACATTGAGAAGGACGTCAAAAAAGGCAGCAGCGACAAGGGCAAAGACAGCAGTGCGCCCAAGAACCCAAGTGGGATCTGCAAGGTCCAGCAGAACGTGGCCAAGATCCCGCTTCTCGCACCCGACGCGCCGCACAGGTCGCTCCGTTCGTATTGAACGACTCTCTCACGATGATGCGACATAGCCAGCAGTGGGTCAACCTTCGCTACGACATGGAGCTGCTTCCGACGCAGTGCTTTCATTTGGAGGTCCAATGGCTCGTGTGTCGCAGCGCGCTCGTCGACGACTTTATCACGGGCCTCACACGCCGTGCGAAGCAGTTTAGCCTCGACATCATTCCCGTGCTGGACACTATTCTTGTCTTGAGAGCTCATTGTGTGCGTGTGTAGGTGCCTGAAAACTATGGCGCGAGTACGCTAGATATCCACCCGCTCATCTGCCCCGTGCACTTTGCGATCCATGTGCCGAGCGTGCTCCCGATGGTGGAGAAGGCGCTCGTGTCGACCCTCGGCTTTTGCGTCGACGGTATTTACACGGCGACCAAGGAGCTGCTCCCGACGCAGTACAACGTCCACAAGCCGACGGGTGATCGGAACTACCGCCAGTACGTCCACCGGGAGCTCTCGTGCTTTGTGCGCGTCACCGATGCGAGCGTCGTGTGGATCTCGAGCCGCCGCCTCCACTCGCCCGAGATGAAGGCGCTCTTTGAGACCGTACGAGCCTGCGTCGCCGACCTCCAGGCCACTGCGCTGCCGCCTCTTGCGATCGCCGCAACCTGCGCCGTGTAATGTGCATCAAATTCGAGTGGTTGCAGCATCGTATCGCAGACGCGGATCTATGGCACGTAAGGAGTGGTCCATCCATGTGCATCTTCGCATCTTTACCACAACCTTGCATGCGACGCCTCGTCCTGGGCGTTCGATGCAACTCGCTCGCGTCGCCTTTTTTTCAAGAAATGGGAGCATCCCACAATCCCCTTTGTACAGTATTTCTTGAGAAAGAGTGGCACTCCGTTGACGACGCGCCGCCAGCGTCCCACGGGCGTTGTAGCGTCCAAGGCAGCGACGCCAAGGCAGCGCAGCTGAGAACGCAGGGTTTGCAGTCTACTGCGACGTCACCGCTGGTCGGGTTGTCGCCGTCGTTTAGGCGGGACATCCAGACGTATTACTACTATATATCGATACAGGACGCGCAGTGCAGTAGGGACGAGAAAGGAACGTGGTGGTGATGGTGGTGGTGCCATTAGCACCGTCGTTGGCGCTGCCTCTCGCTGATCTGGACGTGGCCTTTCCGAAAAAGGGGTGCTCCCACGACCCCTCAAACGTGTCGCGCGCTGGTTTTTTTTACCGGCGCCGGTTGTTGACGCTGGCAACGGCCTTCAAGAATCCGCGTTGCATACAAACATCAAGTGTCTTTTGGATGCTTGCGAGCGGCAGTTTGCAACTTTCATCACGACGATGATACCTCCGCTCCAGTTCGAGTCGTACAAAGTCCGGCCCGACCGCCGTGGCAGCGACCCAGGCCCGGTCGCGCCGGCGACGTGGCAGCTGCCCTTCTCGCGCGTCTCGCCGCAGGCCCTCGGCATGGACTCGGTGCGGCTCTGCGCCAAGAGCGAGTGGGCGCCGAAGGGCAAGGACGTGCGCTGCGCGTGCTGCGACAAGAAGCTCATCCTCTTTGGGAAGCACAACTGCCGTGTCTGTGGCGACCTCGTGTGCGGCCGCTGCTCGGTCAAGCGCATCAAGACGTCGTCGCTCAAGTCGATACGTACCTGCGACAAGTGCGTCCAACACAACCTGATGCAGTTCAACCGCCGCCGCCAGCACCAACAACACGCCGCGACCGAGGCCGCGCCTGTCGTGAGCCGCCCGATCGTCGCGCCGCGCCCGCGCGCCATGACGACGCACGAAGTCATGCGTCCATCGCCCGTGTCGACGCTCCGCCACGCCTCGGCGCGGACCATGTCGGTGCACGCTGCGGATGCGCCAGCGCTGCCCCGGCTCGCGTCGGTGCGTTCGATGCCGCGAGCCGCGTCCAGCCGCGCGATACCGACGCGCCCGCCGTCCGAGGCCACGGGCTTGTCGTGGCAGTCCAAGGTGCTCTTCCTGTACGGCCTCGTTCTCTGTGGTGTCATTGTCTTCGAGGCGCCGCTCGATGTGACGCTCCTCCTCTTTGCAATGCTTGCGCTTGCGTTTGGCTGCATGGCACGCATCGAGTATGCATCCAGCACCAAGCAAGTCGATCGGATATTGGGCTAGCCTCGACATCATGAAATAATTTATTCCGTGCACGCTACCACACTATTAGTACGAGGACGACGCTCAGATCGGCCGACGGCGCATGGGGCAAGGCGGACCTTTCATCTAGGCGGGAGCGACGAAGGCTCGGCGTAGATTCCCATGCGCATTCGACGCGGCGGCCAAGTCTCGAAAGGGACAACACAAGCGCGCAGACAGCGACGTTGGTGGCGACACGCGGACCCGTACTTTCGTTTTGGAGTGCGTGAGAAAGCACGTGAAACAACACGTTGGTAGCAGTCGCTGACGCGACCGCAGTAGAAGAGGTTAGGAGGTGGTCGGGACCTCATCAAGACCCCGGTCTGCCGCGTGCGCCACGTCCGTCGCCCACGCCTGCGCGCCGACGCCATCGCCGAGTTGCGCCGCCGATACCATCATCATCGCGTCAGGACCATTCATGTCGGCAGTATCTACACCATCTACTTGTACCGTATTACCTGGACGACGATCGACCCATCTAGCGCGCGTGTTCCTGCAGCCCCTTGTACGTCGCACGCCAACCGAAGAACTGGCAATTGGCGATGGCAGCCAGCCCCAGCCGCAGAGAAAAACGGATAAAAACACCCAACGTTGAAGCCATCGTGAGTTCTGGAGTATCGGCAATACGACGCATTGACCTCTACGTACAAGGCTTGCCAAAGCCATAGCTTGCATGGGTGCTCTGTAGGGGTCTCAAACGCGCATGGCTATCGGCACTAACGGCGAGCCGCGAGATGTAGATTCCTAGTTGCGTGTGATTAGAGTATGTAGCCTGCGCCAAACCGCTCGTTATCCGTAACTTGGGGGGGCACGATGGCGGCGGGCGCGCCGATATCGCCGTCCAAGGAGAGCAGCATGCGCCGCGTGGCCGGCAACGACGTAGAGCCATGCTCACTGGTACAGCTAGCTCATGCGGTTCATGTAGCGCTGCGCCGACTGCAACAAGGTGTTTCCGCAGTGGTCGTCTGTGACGTTTGGCGTCTTACTCTGCCTCGGTTGCGCCGGCGTCCACCGGTCGCTGGGCGTCCAGACGAGCTTTGTCAAGTCGCTTTCCATGGACACGTGGACGGCGCGGGACATTGCGCTCCTCGAGGCCGGCGGCAACGGCAAGTGGACCACCGTGTGCCTTGCCGCGGGTATCTTTGAACGACCCATCGCCGACAAGTACACGTCGTCGGTCGCCGACGCCTACCGCAAACGGTGTGCATCGCAGCGCTCTCTTGTATCTCACGTCATGTAGGATGTCGGACGCGGCCGGGTGCCCTTTCTCGGCGCTGGACGTGCTCGCGGACCTCGGCATCGACCCGCCCGCCTCGCTCGATGCGCTGTGCTCGACGTTGCCGACGTCCGGACGCAGCAGCCCCGTCCGACGCTCGTCGCTCGCGTCGCTCGACGCGACAACAATCATCTCAGCGAGCGCGCCGGTGCGGGCGTCGTCCGAGTCGGCCATCCGCCGCGAATCGCTGACGAACCTCGAGGCGTCGCTTCAAGTCAAGTGCACGCTCTGCGAGGACCTCGTCGATCTCTCGCACCTCAACGCCCACTCGCAGTCGTGTGCGACCTCTGCGTCCGTGGAAACCATCGAGTTGGACGCCCGACTCGGGTCGGCGACATCGCCTCTTGGCCTGAGCTTGACCAAGGACGAGCGCGGCGACACCGTGGTCTCCAAGGTGACACCGGGCGGCGACGCCGACGTCGCGGGCGTCGTCGTTGGTGCCCGCGTCATCGCTCTCAACGGGTCGCTCATGACCAAGTTTGACACGATCATGCAGAGCCTTGACGTGCCCCGGCCGATCGGCGTCCGCTTTGCAATCGACCGGCCGTTCGTCGCGTACGACGTGGTCCTCCACGCGACCGAAGTCGGCTGTACCTTCCAGACGTCCCTGTACAAACACGTCATCGTGACGACTGTCGAGCCAAGTAGGCCTTCCCGCACATATAGATAGCACCAGGTAGATGGCGCTCTGTAGATGGCCACGGCGCTGCTGCCGGCATTCTCGTGGGGTCGCGCGTCTACCAAGTCAACGGCGAGGCCTACGCGGTGGCATCCGACCTCCTCCGCGCCCTCTTGAAGGCGTCGCGCCCGCTCACGCTGCGACTGCACCGCTACGACGATGCGCTGATACGACCGTGGCACAACACTAACACGTGAGGTTGCAGGTGCTCGTCGGGTTTATCGCTTCTGCTACGTCGTCAAAGCTCAGCGACTAGACCTCGGGCGAAAGCGGCGTCGCCGCGAGCATCGCAGGCTGCTTGTACAAATTGGCATCGATGGGCGGGCGGTGGCCGAGCCGCGCCCGGTGGTCGTCAAGGGCGACGCACATCTCGATTGGGAGGTAGGCCGAGACGGGCGGGAAGAGCGCGAGCATGTAGCCATGGAAAAGGGCCGTCGCCGCCGGCAGCAGGAGCGCCGCGAGCACTTGGCTCGGCGCCTCCTTGAGCGTCAGGAGCCCGAGGAGCGTGATTTGCGCGATGCCGAGCGCCGTGATGAGGTACACGTAGAGCTGCGGCCAGTAGACGCCCGTCGAGCGCGTGCTCGGTTGGAAGACGCACCACGCGAGCCGTCGAAACACAATGTCCGACACGAAGAAGAAGACACCACCCATGTACGCGAGCAGCGGCGCAAGCGGCGCGAAGGTCAAGACGATGAGGAAGATGAGGAAATGCTGGGCGAGCGGGATCGTAATGTCAAACTTGGTCGACGCCGTCATGGGCACGAGGCCGTACCACGGCGCGTTTGTCTCGCGGGGCGTGAGCTGCGGCGCCAAGAGAGAGTAGACACTCCCGAGGACGATGGCGACGAGGCGGAAGAGGTGCACATGCAGCGTCAAGCCCGTCTGCACGAGGATGAAGCTAAAGAAGAACGTCGACTGCCCCGGCAGACTCGACCCGAGGAGCGTCACGAGCTCCAACGGCTCCTTCGCGATGCGTGCGAGCTGATCGGAGATGGCCGAGATCGACCCGGCAATCGCCGAGACGAAAAACACCTGGACGAGCTGGTACGCGACCTACATGCGCACCGTCAAGCCGCCGCTTCGAACCCGCCAAAGGACGCACGTATTTGGTGAAAAGCGAGGCTTCGATCGCGTTCTGGGACGCGTGGCCTTCGCCGACCGAGAGAATGCGAAAGAGCAGCGGTGCCAAGCTGTTCATAACGACGAGCAGCAGCGGCGAAAGCTGTTGCAAAAGGGGCTGCAGAAACGGGAATTGAACCAGCGCCGAGTCGAGGTTCGGGATCACTTGCCGCAGCTAATACAACCAACAGCCAATGAGCCCCATAACGAACACATGCTCTCTACATACCGACGCCAGTGCGACGACAAACGTGGTCGGGACGGTCCAGAACAGAATCGCGAGACCCGTGATGCCAATGCTCAAGAGCAGCGCCGTCTTGCGCTCGACATAGTTGAGCCGGCCGACGTTCTCCCACACAATGTCTTCGGCGGGCGGCGCCTCCTGCACCTTCATCTCGGACGGACGCGCGGTCTGCACGATCTGCTGGATCGTGTTGGTCGCCTGGAGCGTCGAGAAGGCAACGAAGGCGGCCGACCGGAGCACATTGGACGCATGCTACGCATGCTACACCCATCCGTATATTCCTAAGCGAGAGAGAGAGATGGACTACCTCGAATTGGGCCGCCGCCTCGTCCACGGCCACGTGGAGGTCGAACGCGACCTGCTGGCGCTGCTGCTGGACCGCTTGCTTGGGCAGAAGCGGCGTCGACTCGAGCGGCTGCGCTTCAAAATGTGCTTTTGTCGCGAGGAGCTGCGCTTGCTTGGCGTTGAACTGGACGCTGCCGTTCTTTTGCTGGGCCTCAATCGCTGCAATCGAGATGCGGATGTCGTCGTTGAGTTCGTGGAGCCGGTCGCGGTACCACGCGATCGAGTCGACCTTGGAGTGGTACCACATCGAGTGCGGGTCGTACTGGTAGTGCGTGGGCCGACGCCCGCACTGCGCTTCTAGGACGAGCGCGTGCTCGAGGCTGGCGCGCACGTCAATGCGCTCGGCGACACGGGCCTCGAGCTCGCCCGACTCGACCGCAATGTACACGGCTTCGACTTGGTGCGGGAAGATCGTGTCGAGGTACTTTTTCAGCGCCGCATGCGACCGCAGGTGCAGCGGCAGGTCGTCGATGAGCACGCTGTACTGCTGCGTGTCGAGCTTGGAGAGGAACTCGTGCCGGCGCTCCTTGTACGCGACGCTCTCGTCGTAGATGAGGTACATGGTCGTGAGCGTGATGCCAAAGGCCGCGAGCACGGTCGCCCACAAGCGCTTGTCGCCGTCCGTGAGGCCGCCGATCGTGAGCCGGTCGACCCAGTGCGCTTGCGGCTG